ATGATACATCACACGCGTATCGCTGTGCGTAATCCGCCCAGTCGCGTTATTACGTTATCGTTAGCCGCTCGCGGTCGAAACAGCGCGCGCGGACGGGGGTGCTCTTTGTCTATCCAATTGTCGCGGGATTTGTATCGTGGGATCCGATGTCTTTTGAATGCTGATTTGCATGACTGCATCGTTCTTGCGTTATTATCCTATCGAGTTACATATCCTCGCGCGCACGCACCGAATAAGTTACCTCTTGGCCGGGCGACGGATCCCCCCGGCGGATATTAAAATTGCAAATTGCGTACAAGGGTGATGAGAGATCGCGCGCCAGCCAGCCCAACGTTGCTCGTCTTACTGCGCTTTATTTATCGCTCGTTATGAAGAGATCGCGCGGAAAATAATGCGCGAGAAACGAGGCGTTTTAACACCCCGCAAGCCTCTCCTTCTCTATCTATCCATCTCTCTCTCTCTCTCTCTCTCTCTCATATTAGTTTATGCTTCACTACACATTATGTTTATGCTTCGCTACACATACTGCATTAGACATTTAACATTCAAAACTTATACAAATATACTATACCGTGGTGCTGCATTCTCCATACAAGATTCCGTCACCACAGTCAAGTTTGTCTTGAACCAATATCGAAGAAAATGTCACAAGAAATATTTATTTCGCAAAATTTCAATTTCTTTTCCTCAGTATATTATTCATGTTAACCAATTTGAATCTGTATAATATAGACTCTTGCATCCTGCCATAATTATTGCTTTCTGTAGATATAAAAGTATTCACTTTCAGGATTTATAATAAATTCTACTCTATTCTACTCTCTCTCTCTCTCTCTCTTTCTGTCCCAATGACGAACGGCATCAGAAGCGAACTGATACGACGGTGACACCTTATCTGAGAAGCGGTACGAAGCGTGTGTGCGCTTACTTCATCGCTCATGCGCTAATTGTCTCGCGTTACGTCGCGGGGGGAGAGCGACCTTTCGCTCTTCAAGTTTGTTCAATGTCGCGAAGTAAACTTTGGCGACTGTGATTTCCCGACGAAACCCGGCGAGAGGCTTCTCTGCGTCTGTGCACCGTGTCATCTTGGCGGAATAGTCAACGCGAACGCAGTTGACTCTCATAAAGACTCACCGCGACGAGGGTCCGTAACGCGGGAAACAAAACTGCGCTGGACATTTCACGCCGTCTCGTTTCGTCGCCGACAAGGACGTCTCTCTTTCTGCCTCTTCCGAGGAAACGCGTGCTCGCACTATCCCGGACTTTCGCGTCGAGTCGGAGGTGCGCGTTTCCAGGCGAGCGCCTTTTAGCGGGCGACGTCTAATATTCACGCCTCGTAGGCCGCCCGGACTTCGACAGTCGGCGGCATTGTTAGCTCTCGAGCACGACGATAATTACCGAGCTCTCTGTAACGGTTCGCGGTAAGAGGCCGAGCGCGCTATCGCGCCGGCAAGGATTTCAGCCGCCTTTCTTCGCCGTCGAGGCAGCTTCGAGCGTGCCGCCCCGTTCGTGGTAAACGTTCCTTGTGTTCCTTCGCGATTCTCCTTTTTTCCCCCTCCTCCCTCTCCACCTCAGCCACCTCTACGTCTTCTATCCTCCACCTGTTAGATGTCTAGCATCTAGTTTGCGCGCCAATTCGCACCTTCGCCGACGCGACGTTCCCGGAAAACGGTGAAACGGCCGCCAGCCGGCACCGAGCGAGCAAGGACACCGCGACTAGGAAGAGGAATGGCCTCGATTTATTACGTTCGACGGTGCCTCCGGGATTTCGTGGCCGCGGGCGAACGCACTCACGGACGAAATCGTGGCTGAAATCGGTTGGAACCGTATGGGTATTCGTGAAAACGGTGAAAGGAGATACATCCCGTATCTCGAGACACCTCGAATCAACGAGATAACGCCGCGGTAATTAGCGCGCTAATTAAATGCGGCGTTTCAACGCGCCCGGAGTGTAAATGCGGCACGCGGACGCTTCTCGGGAAGCGACGTATATTAAGAGTCTGTGCTCATGATGCCAGATTTCGGTCCGAATTGTTGGCCAGACGTGAAAATTACTAGAAATTAGTGCAAAATTATTAACATTCGCAGTATTTTCTAGGACCTCTTATAATGTTTATTCATTATCATGTCAAGATCAAACAATTAACTAAACATAGCTTTTTATTGTTTTAACATAAATAATCATTAGTTTATATATAAAAACATGTTATGTTTTAATATAAATAATCATTATGTCTAAAATTAGACTGATATTCTGGAAGTGAAATTAAAAGAACAATCAATGAAACGTAAAATGAGTAATTATGTGTTTAAAAAATTAAATAATTTCAATAAAAGAAACTAAGTTTCGTTTAATTAAATGGAAACTAAAGTAGCGTTAATATTGGACATTTTTAGGTGTGTTCGTAAGCAAGGATCTTTCATCCGATGTCTGATTGGTGACGTTCACAATTTCAGAGGGTTAATGCATATTAGTACAATTTATTATTATTATATTTAGTATTATTTATTTTTCGTTAAATGAAAAATCGGAACGAATGACGTCCCGCTTAGGATTTTGTCGGGACGCCTCTAATGAGAGCCCAAAATCGGGACGGTTGTTCACTCTACCTAAGACACGAAGCGCGCGTAAAGACGGATATGGTAACCATCCGATCTTGAATACCGGCACGACTCGATCGCGTCCAGTTGAAATATGACGGAAAGCACCGAAACGAATAAATGCTTGCAACAGGACGACCCGAACAGTTATGTAAGCCGAGTAAAAGTGTTCGACGGCGAAACAGGTTCACGCAGGGAGCGCACCGGCTGTCGCTCCGAGCGTCCGAGATCTAGCTTGAATTATCGGCATGCTTGGAGCTTATCGAATAACCACACGCGGCGCGATAAATTATCATTCGTTATTATAGGTCGTTAATTACGGCCGCGCCGCGGGTGCCGCGATTTTCCTCGGTCGGCGCCGCGCGCGCCCAGAGGAAGACCCGATGGAGTGCGAATTAGAGTGGACGAGGGACTCCCCGTAGCCCGGGGTGCTCCTTTCGAAAGGGAAGACCGACCGAACGGTAGATCGGTCTCTCTCTCTCTCTCTTTCTCTTTCTCGGATAATAATGATCATTCCCAATCGCTTCGTGAATTCGTCCCGCCTCGTGGAACAACGGCGAGCGAGCGAGCGAGAGGAGGGAAAAAGAGAAGCCCGGGCTCACAATAGGTATAGTAAAGCTTTCGCTGCAAGCACTAAACTGTAACGTAATTTCTAGCCGAAAGCTATAGTTTTAAACGTTAGGAGAAAAACGTGATTTTTCCGATTTTCTCGCGGATTGCTCGGGTTTTCTCCTTCGGCACAAATAATTCGTTTAATCTAACTAAAAATAACTACCAACCCGTATAAAATATCAGGGTGCTTCGGAAGGAATGCATTATTCGAAGAAAAGTCTCAGACAAAAGTTGTAAGACTTTCGCTGTCCAGCTGTACGGAGAGCGATAAAACAGCACCTGATCGGTCGGTCGTTATTATCTACCGCGAGATACGTAAGCATGCGGCCGCGTAGGTATTCGCACCGACGATCGCGCTGGATCGCACGAATAAAAGATCGCAACGTCGATTGGTACGTGCCTTTATCAGCCGGTCGGCAGCTTGCATCGATGCGTGCCCTTCGCGCCCTGTGGTTGTTCGCTGCCTTCGCTTCGCCGATCGTAATCCGAGCTTCGAGAATTGAGGGATCAGCCGCGCGGAGAATGCGACTGATACGTCGGCCGTAACATCGCGCGTCGCTCGCCGTTCCTTCGGCAAATACACGGACTCGAGCGTGCTCTTTATCGTGGCTCTCCGACGCGTTCGCGATGTTATTTCCTTATAATATATCTGTAGATAGAGCCGAAAGGTCTCTCGCGAGTGGAAGGTGAGTTCGAGGAAAATAATTGCGCGATCAACGAGATATCGTGACATCGCAGTCATCGGGGTTTCGCGATCGTAAATCAAGCCAACGGCGAACAGTGAACGCAACGATGCCGGACCTATCGCAAGCCGCTAGAAATGCCTCGGAACGAGGTCGATCGAGCGAACTCGATAAATTACGCGCGATCAGGAAGAAATAGAGAAGAACGGAATTGGACTACCCATTCGCGGAGGCTCACGACGCTGGGTCATAAATCAAGGAATATAAGAAGCGCAACGAGATCGCGCGCGAGTACGCGAAGAAGCTTCTTGCTCTGCAAATTCGTTGTCCGGTAAAACCGCGTTCCACGCGGGTCAATGCGTCGTTACGAGGACGCGTCGCATACACGGATTTCTCGGGATTTGAGAAAATTTCTGAAATTAAAGCGAATCTTGTCCTTTGGAACGGAGGAAGCAAACGAATGTTTGATTCAACAAAGAGAATTGTTTGGTTTCTCAAACATTAAATATCCATCTTTACGTTAAACAACATATTTCTTTTATATTTTCATCCAATCGATATAATGATGGTCACAAGTAATACATTATTTGGAAGAAATAATATTATGTTAGAAAAAATAATTAAATAATTTCCTTCTGTTTCAATGGAACAGTATTTAATATATAATGAAGTAAATTATTTTTTTTATCGAAAACCAAACAATATTTCCTCTAAATAATACTGTTCCTTTTTTCTTGTCAAACAATACATTTTACTCTAGTGAAACATTTTCATTCAAACAAAACGATATTCTATATCAAATTATATTGCTTATGTTAAACAAATTACACACCAAATCCGAAGAAAACTATTTTTCCCTACGTACGAAATACGCACTTAAATTCTGAGTTTGCTTCGCAATGAATATTTTTGATGGTAAAAAATCACGAGGCACTTCTCCTCTTCACAAGCTCTGGCGAGCTCCGTCGTATTGCCCGCCAACGAGCACATAGAGCGCGAAATTGCCGAGCTCGTTTAAATTCAATTCCCGAAATTTGCATTTAATTGCCGCGTTCTGCTGCGCGGGAATAACGTGTGTCATATGAAATAAAAATGATCACTCACCGGTCGGCCGTTATCCATCTGTCTATTGCTGCGTGTAGCACAGTCAATCACCGGTCGAGCGCCGATCACGTAACTCGGACGTGTCCCCGGTCCAGTGGGCTCTCGCACCAACCCTGAGAATAAATTGCATCCCTGCCACGCACGAGGTACACGCGGTATACGGCTGGGACCCAGAGGCGGCGAACGTGTGTCGCGAGTAAAGTGTTCCAAATTGTTCCTCCGGGGTGACATTATGCTCGCGAAGGGCGATAACGAGATATCGGCTACAACGCGCGCGCATTCGCCGTGTAATAATCTTGACATCAGATCCGGCGACGCGACAAACGCGAGAAATACGGCAGAAAATTACGCAAGCGATAATCCGGCCGCTCCGCTCGATCTGACGGCGAGATGCGGCGATACTTTGAAATCGCTCGGCCATTTTCGCGAGATAAGATCGCATCGCGAATATATTGTGCATCCTAGACCAGCGGTTACGTAGCTCGCAAGCTGTTCTTGTTTCTCAAACGCGTAAGAACCGTAATACACGGCCGCTGACGGTGTCACAAGTGGCTCGGAATAATTGTTAGAGCGACGTCAAGAACGAATGGTGCCCGATGGATTGACTGGAGATATTTTCGAAAATGTTGAAAGAGTCATCAGATCGATCAATTCGGTTATCGTGACAGGCGTGTGTCGACGCATGCGTGGCAGAGGGAAAGATACTCGTCCTCTCTCACAAATCTGAAAGTAATCCACAGTTTAATGCATTCTGAAATAGCATCGCTTCCACGTAGCCGCCCTGGCAATAATCGCCGCATCGAGTTCACCGAGAAGAGAACGCATTCACGTGCTCCGGAGAGGATGTACGAAAAATCGATACATAATATACGTAATTGACGGGTCCGAGGCGATCCTCCCTCAAAGAGCGCACTTGCGTCGCACTTATCCCGTTCTCGCGCTCGTTCGAACCAAAGTTATTATTCGGCCGGTTGATTCGTTTTTAACGTATCCTTGTTAATCGTCCTCGCTATTATGCCCGCGGCAGGACGGTATAAAAATCGCCGCTGCCTTAATTAAGACGAGAACTCGTCGCCGGGAGAACGCGGAATCCTCATTGCCGAGTTACGGATAACAAGTCGATATTTCCTCCTATTATCCCTTTTTTCCTCGTCCCGAAGAATCCCGAGTATTCCCTGCGCGCGCAGCCGGCGCGCGCTGCCAAAGATAAACAGGATTCTCGATTAAAACGAAAATCTTTTTCTCTCTCCTTCCTCGGGACTTCCAATGCCGCGGAGTCCTCCCTCTCTCTCTCTCTCTATTATCTCCTTTTCTCAAGAACAAGAGGAGAGTGAGAGGAACAGAGAGGAAACTCTCGCAGCATCTGCCAGGTTCCAGGATAATTATTTACGTCAGATAGGATCTCGACTGGGGGTTTCACCAGCGGGAAACAAAAGAATTCGCCATCGGCGAGGATACTAACTAGGGAGCGAGAAGAGGAAAGAGAGAGATCCTGAAAGGATGTAGCAACGTCCAAGCGTTCTAATCTTTTCCCTACCGGCGACAGTTAGCCATATTCCACAGCGAGGATTTCGGCCGAAGGGTCGCGGTAAGGTCCTGAGAATCTGTCCTCTCCGCGAACGGAACTTTTGCGGATTTGAGGGAGGATTGTGAAACGGACGCTTCAAGATTTATCTCATCCGCCCCGGCGCGGAACTCGATCGGCAGGCCTTAAACTACGTTTCTTAGAGTATTTCTTAGAGTATATTCTCAACCTTGGATGAACAATTTTATCTCTGTACCGTTGGCGAGAGTTACTGGTAAAAGATAATCGTGAATTCAATCATTGCACAAGAATTGGAAAAATTCCTCACCAACGGCGGTTCATCCACGGTCACGCGTGCTGAAATATTTCAACTTTTTATCGCCGTGATATACAGCCAAGGCTTGCGAGCATCGGTGGATATTATTGGCGTTCCTTCGCGGAAGGAGCCTCGTTCCGAGGATTAATGAAGAATTATTCCCCGAGGAGAACGAGCGCTTTGTGCGCGCTCACGTCGTCGTGCGTAAACTTCATTCGCCAGGCGCGACGCACGCGTAGACGGGCAGTAAAGCCGTCACCGGATAGACCCGTAGATAAATACTTACGGCACCGAGCCGTTGTAAACAATGTTGCTACGAGTGAGCTTGATAATTGAGGCGGCTGTTCGCCGAGTCGTAATACCCCGAGTGGTCCTACGAAGGACCCTCGTCGCGGGCAACGGCGCGTCCGCTATAAACTCTCTCGAAGTCGCGCGCCTATCGCCACGACGCGCTCGTCACATTTACATTGCGTTTACGTCGTAACAACGAAGGCGCCGTGAAATCGCGTGTTTACGCGTGAGACTCGTAAAATCGATCGAGTCGATGCCGGGTCGGCACCATTTTCCCCGAAAACTTTCCGTTAAAATCCTTCGTGCCTCCTGCGGAGAAAAATATTTCGCTGGCACAGCAAATTGTCGGATACTATGGCGACGATAAAAAGATTTGTTACGGAAAAATCATTTCGCTGTTGTAGCAAAACATCGTTGCGACAGTGAGCGAATTTTGTTGGTACGATCAAATTATTTTGCCATCCTATTTCCCGATTATACCATGTTGCAACCAATCATGTGATATTGATAACTCAAGATTTATCTCATTAACTCACTTTCACGCATCTCGAGCAGTTTTACTTTCAATTTTTCCCGCCATCTCTTTATACCACTAAATCTCGGAAGGAAATAAAACGTTGTGAACGGACATTAAAATAATGGCTTTCGGCCAACGTCTGAATAATATCACGCTTGACTATTTTCGGTGGGCCGTTCGAAAGAGGAAAAAAACAAATCCTCGGGTAAAAGCGGTTCTCTATCGGCGAATAATCCGCTTTTATGAATATTTAAGGTTATGCACGGGCTGTTTGAAAAATCCCGATAAACGCCGGTAGACAGAATATAATATTCCGGAATATCCAGTATTACCAGTAACGCCGGTATGGTCGGTGGCGCCGCACACGATTATGAATACCGAAGTCGATATTTACGTTTGTGTAACGAGCGTAATCTCTTAATTGCTGTAAAGCTAATGATACGATCGCTAGCTCCGCGTTGCTCAAAGCGAATCACCCAATTTAATCAATCCCCGGAGAGATACAAACGTAAAAAAATCTATAATAAATAACAAGTACGAAAAAATAAGAAGGATAAAAAGTGACAAATCCTTTCTGAAGTATCTCTACATGCAAAATGTCCGCCGCGCATCGGCGCGTTCTTCTTCCAGAGTGCTTCGCGCGATCGACACGTGACGTAAAATCGGTAATCTCTCCGGAGCGAAAGAATGCGTGGGTTAAGAGCGCATTCAAAGAATTATCAGCGGTGGCGCCGACAGGACGTCGGGTCAGAAACGAATCCAAGTAGCCGAATGCCCGCTCCTGCGAGGAAAGCGGTAGTTCTCGGCCGGGCGCTCTCAGCGTGCGGTGAGTCTCGAGTTGTAAAACAACTTGTAAAACGCGCGGCCGAGACGCGTCCTGTCAGCCCGGGTTTTGCGGCAAGTCCTAATCTGCTCGGCAAATCTATCGGGCGACCCGTCGCGCCGGAGAAAACGGCAGATTATACTTCGCGGCGGGAACAATAAATAAACGAGAGAGCGCGGTCTCGCGGGCCGCGGAGAACGCGGCGGACAATTTAGCATTTGAATAAGCACCGGTCGCCGCTACGTACCTATCGCATATATTGCTGCGACATGTACGATATGTACACTCGTGTCGCGCGTTCGATTTACCGGAGGTCATTCTAAAAAAACGACCCGACCCAGTATTCGTGATCGGGATAAATATAAGAAACGTCGGTCGCGGTTAGGCGAAAGGATCGACGGCAATGAACATTTCCATCGTTAGCGAGCGTTCAATTACAGAGCGTTCCAGATTCCTCTCGTTTCCTTTCATCCGAGGAATTCGCGGATTCCGAAAGATCGACCGACGAACTCGCGCACTCGGGTAACAGAGAACCCCGGCGGATCTGAGTCGTTCCGTGGGTATCGCCTTACCGTTGCCGTTTGCACCGGTAAAGGTATGCAAATTACGCCGGAATATTTATACAGCCGGAGTTTCCCCCGTTCTTGATAGATGCGCTCCAACACGCATACATGCGTGCGGGCGCGCGCACACACACACGCATATGAAATACCTCACCACCGGGATCTCGTGTCAATCTCGCCCCGACACGTGTATCCATCCGTTAATCTACCCTCCTGATCTTACAACCTCTCAACACACCGAGGAAAATGGTTGCGCGCTCGAGCTCGCTCAGGTCGTAGCGGCGCGACCCAAGATCAGCGGGGCGGTTGCACCCTCTTCCCCGAAAAGTAACCGCCGTCCATTATATTTTTAGTTTATATATTTTTCGTGCTCACGCGCTAACGAACTCCCCGATGGTTATCTGTCGTGCCCTGTTACATTACCGTCCTTGAGTTCGGCCCAGGTAAAACCTGTCTCGTGGACTTACCTGAAACAGAGAAGAGGAGAAAGGTTTGATTAATTCATGCGTGTGTTGAACTAACCTAGTTGATGCTTGTGGAAGGGACCAGAAAGAAAGGGGGATCGGAAAGAAAAGGGCGTATCTGTCAGTATTTAACAGACTAAAATATTCCAAGCACCGACGATTTATTTCCCGTTCTTTTTTTCCGTTGCGCACTCTAAATTGAAGAAAGGACGATAGGTGAAACGGGCCGATTTTGGAGTGGCTAGTAAAACCGCTATGTTTTTTGTAATTTTTTCAGCTACCGATTCCGACCTCGGAACAATTTTAATTTAAACGACAAATTAAAACTTTTTCAAGATCAGAATCGGATGCAGCAGCTGAAAAACTACCAGAAACATGCCGTTTTTACTTGCCACTCCGGTGGCTAAAATCGGCCCATTTCATCCGTCGTCCTTTCTTGGAGTTTGCTCGACGAAGACGCGCAAAGCCAGAGCCGCGATTAACATTTGCATTAGCCGTCCGTCCGACCGGTGGCGAATTCGGTCGCATTAGTTCCCGTCAGAAGGATCCAGCCAACTTGGCCGGATTACTAAAATAATTTATTACACTCCCCCCCCCCCTCCCACTCTGCCGCGCCACCCACACTCACACCGATGCAAGGATAAGCTGCGTTCTTCCAAGGACTCGAGGAGCGCAACGCGCATTTGCATTCGCCACTCGTGGCACACATTTATTACACGGGGCGCGAAACGCTTCCTACCGCTTTGCCGAGCGCGAGTTACGTCGCAGGATTCATCCTTGGGCCGTGGGGTCGTATTTCCGAGTGTTTAGGGCGACTTTAGAAACACCTCCGAGGCACGAGGAGACTGGATGTTAACGGTAATCGGTGGCTGTAAGGACCTCCGGCGATTTTGTCTCTTTCTCTCTCTCTCTACTCTCCCCCCGACCAGTCAGAAATAAAATACTCCATCGGGCTCATTTCGGTCAGTGCCTCCTCCGGCGTCCTTGCTATCTCCCGCCGCTAATGGATCCTGTCGATCTCCCGTTCCGGGCCCGCATTTGCGCTCTCGTATCGCATCGTATCGCAGAATGCGCGTTGCACGTCGCACGGAGTGGTCGGCCGAGTGGTTCGAAAGAGAGCGATAGGACGGTATCGCCGAACTCCGCGGGAGGCGACTTTTGTTTCTTTCAGGGGAAATTTATCAAGAACTAAAGCACACTTAGAGCGAGTGACCGTGCGCCACGCCTCATTATCGAATTCTCGGAAAAATTGCGTTTCAAGGCGGGCCGAAATGCAATCTCGGTATGGCGACGTGCCATTAGACAATGCTCACTCGGCAGCCTCCTTTTTCGCTTGTCTCGCGGGTTCTTTCACCACGCTATCAGCAGCGACCGATTGCCGGCCCTTCGTCCTCGAGAACGTTAAGCAGCTATCGTCGCTCGTCCTTCTTGCAAAGGGCATCGTCTGGAGCCATACTTCCGCTGGCTCCTCCTTCGACGTTTATTTTTAAGTCACCCTCGTACCAACGAGAAACGAATTTTCATATATATTAAAATTAAAAGTGCTAATTACAGGTGCTAATTAGGCGCTGCGATGCGAAATTAGGCATTCGAACGGTTCGGCGGGGAACTGTATTACTAGTGGGAGGAAGGCTGACGCTAATACGCGTCCTTCCTCGTCTTCTCGTAAAAGGCATCGGTCCTCAGGATCAAGACGCGAGATTTATAATTGCCTACTCGGCGAGTTCGACATTCCACGCGC